CCCCTTCGATCCTGTGGTCCGTGGGCGGCACCGTCGTAGGCCACGGTGGGCGGCGGAACGTGGACCTGGGCTCGGATGGGCGTTCCCTGAGGATCGTGCGGGCGGGGAGCGAAAACGCGGGCGTCTACACCTGCACTGCGTCCAACACTGCGGGCGTGCTTGACGTCGAGGTCGCTCTTCGGGTCTTGGGTGAGTTGTAACAATAATTGGCATATTTTTTGGTAAGTGATAGTGGTAATGGTGGTGATTGAAGTTGTAGTTGTAGTTTTGATGGTTTGTGGTGGTTGCAGAAGTAGTAGTTTCGCCTGTTGAATCATTTTTAGTTATGATATTAGTAGCAGAAGTTTAGTAGTGGTAGTAATAAGAACAACTACGATGATAATGACGATAGTTATAATCATAATAAGAATGTAACAACACTAATCATAATATTAATTAATTATTCAAACAGATCACTAACTCCTAATTTCATCAATATCAACTCTAACACCTCTCCCCCCTTTCCCTTCCATCCACCCCCCGGCATTCAGTTCCCCCTCAGATCGCCAGAGGAAATGGGCGTGGCCAGGTGGCGGAGGGCGAGGAGGAGCTGGTGACCGTGATGGAGGGAGGTCACGTGGCTCTCCAGTGCATCCTGCTGAAGGGGACGCCGACGCCGACGAGACAGTGGTTCGTGGGGCCAGAGCTCGCCGAGCCGGTTCATACTGTGAGTGGCGCCTGGTGAAGTCTTTCGTTTTTTTTGTGTCTTTTTTCTCGTTCTCTGTTTCTGTTGTTATTCTTTCTATTACTTTTTTTTTGTCTGTCTCTTTCTTACTTTCCTCTCTCTCTCTGTCTCTGTCTCTGTCTGTCTGTCCTGTCTCTCTCTCTCTCTCTCTCTCTCTCTCTCTCTCTCTCTCTCTCTCTCTCTCTCTCTCTCTCTCTCTCTCTCTCTCTCTCTCTCTCTCTGTCTGTCTCTCTCTCTCTCTTTCTTTTTTCTTTATCTTTTTCTTTTTCCCTCCCTCCCTCCTTCCTACATATCTGCTTTACCTCTTCCTTACTCTTTACATTTGCCTATCTGCCGCCCATCCTTGTATATCGATCTATCTCTCTGCCTCTGATTATAATACCCTGAGCTCTTTGTGTTTATAAATACCAACCAACTACTTGTACCATCTGTCCTCAGGTGGTCGGCAACGGAGAACAGCTGGTGATCACACGAGCAGAGGAAGATGACTCGGGCCAGTACAGGTGTATAGCGGAGAATCCAGCTGGTTCGGCCACCAAGTTGTACCAGCTGGTTGTTCAGTCGGCTCCGAGAATCAACGTGACTGCCCTGCCACCTTACATCACAGTGCTCTCTCCTGGTACGTTTGTTCATGAAAACAGCTCATTAATTTTAAGTGTGAATAGATGAATAGTTAATGAATGAAGGATAGATTCTTGATTAACAGTGGGAATAGGAGAAAAAGTTATACACGAAAATTAGATTTATAAATAAAAACGCCAATAGGATAAGGTATTGTAGATAAAAGATGAAACTTTAATTCGATGAAAAAATAATAAATGAAACATAAATTATTGATTAAAAACATTGATAGATGAAAAAAAGAAAAGTGAATTGTTAATTACAAACATTAAAAAAGGAAAAATCATAAAGGAATTAATAATAAAAGCTTGGATAGATGAAATACAGAAATAAATTGCATGCTGAAGGGAAGATAGTATTCTATTAGAAAGTAATTTTAAAGAATTGATCTGAAATGAGAACACTTCGAATAAGATCATTCGTCATTTTGCCTTTTGAAAATATTTGTAAGCTTTGAAACTGAGTATTTTACCTTATCATTTTCCTTAACTCTTTCTCTTTTTCTATCTCCATCCTTATTTTTATATCTATCCCTAATCTACCCCAAATTCCTCCCCCCCTTCCTCTCTGTCTTACCCCTTTCCCTGTTTTATTCGCTATCCTAAACCCTAATCTTATTATCTCTCTCTCCTTCTCCATCTCCCTATTCCTATCCTGTTTCCTTTCCAATCCCTTTCCTATCCCTACCCTTATTATTATCTCTCTCCTTCTGTTCAGCAAAAATCCTATTATTATCCCAGTGGCCACATGGATCTCTATTGACCCACACTATATAGCGTACGTCCAATCCCAAGAAAATACAAATTGGCAACTCACCCCAACACCTCGAACACTCCGATTTTCCAATTCACTTAAAAAAAAAATTCTAATCACTTGACTCTTAAAACTTGTACTTACATATATCTGGATTTTTAAAACTACAATATTCTTGCTTACTCTTGTGCTGAAGTGTGCTACTTCCATCAACGCTTTAGTATTGTTATCATTATTTCTATTTTCTCGAAAGCAGCTTTAGCGAATCGGAAAGCTCCAGAGAAAAGTACGAGTTGCCAGTTACTTCCTTTTCTGCAAATACCACCACTTACATGCTTTTGACTCAGCCACATGAAGAGAAAAGCGCATACTTATGAGGAGTCTATCATCCCTGACGCGTGAATCTACTTAATGAATAGGTCTTTTTCAGCTTTAGAGAGAGACAAGAAGGAGTATTAGTGGGAGAAGAAAAAGATGTGGTGGAGGAGGAGGAGGAGGAGGAGGAGAAGAAGAAGAAGAAGAAGAAGAAGAAAAAGAAGAAGAAGAAGAAGAAGAAGAAGAAGAAGAAAAAGAAGAAGAAGAACTGGAAGAGGAGAAGAAAAAAATAATAAGTGGAGGAGGAAAAAGAAAAGGAGAAGAAGGAAAAGAAGAAGAAAGAAGAGGGGAATAAAGAATATATATATATTCTTTATTCCCCTTTCTGAAAGAGACAGAGACAGAGACAGAGACAGAAAGAGACGGAGAGAAAGAGAAAAAGAGAGAAAGAAAGAGAGAAAGAAAGAGAGAAAGAAAGAGAGAGAGAGAGAGAAGGAGAGAGAGAGAAGGAGAGAGAGAGAGAGAAGGAGTGAGAGAGTGAGAGAGAGAGAGAGAAGGGGGGAGAGAGAAGGAGAGAGAGAGAGAGAGAGAAGGGGAGAGAGAGAGAGAGAGAGAGAGAGAGAGAGAGAGAGAGAGAGAGAGAGAGAGAGAGAGAGAGAGAGAGAGAGAGAGAGAGAGAGAGAGAGAGAGTAGCATACATAAATATACATAAGGCTTTAGGGCTTGATGTCCGTCCGCCTGTTTCATTCTCTCTCCCCCTTCCCTTCCCTCTATCTGTCTGTCTGTCCATCTACCTATCTCTCTCTCCCTCCCTCTTCCTCTTCCCCCCTACCCCTCCATCCCTCCCTGCATCCATCCATCCATCTATCCATCAATCCGTCTCTCTATCCCCCACTCTCTCTCTCCCTCCCTGCCTCTTTCCCTCTCCCTCCCCTTCCCTGCCTCTCTCACTCTCCCTCCCTGTCTCTCTCCCTCCCCTTCCCTCCCTCTCTCCCTCTCCCTCCCCTTCCCTGCCTCCCTCACTCTCCTTCCCCTTCCCTCCCTCTCTCACTCTCCCTCCATCTCGGAATCTACCTCCCCTCAAAAAAAAAAAAAAAAAAAAAAAAAAAAAAAAAAATCGATAATAGTAAACAAACTCCTTATTCCTAACATTCCAGGTGATACAGGATCGGGTATATTACCTGCTGACGGCCGGCCACGCCACAGCCACGTCAGCGCATCAGCCACTTCGTCGGAGGATCAGACACTCATCCTCACCTGTCCAGTTACAGGTAGTTTTTTTAAAAATATCTTTTCTTGTTTTAGCCTCGTTATTCGTCGTTGCATTAGTTCATCTTTTTTTTTTTTTACTGCTTCATTGAATTGGTCCTATTCAACCCCAGTAAAAAAATATGTATGTTCTGCCATATGTGATATTGCATACATACTTTACACACACACACACACACACACACATACATAAACAAACACACACACACACATACACACACACACACATACACATAAACACACACACACACACACACACACAAACACACATACATGCACACACAAACACACACACATATATACACACACAAACACACACACATACATTCACACACACACATACATGCACACACACACACACACACACACACACACACACACACACACACACACACACACACACACACACACACACACATACACACAAACACACAAAAAAAAATCAGCAAAGTATATCACTATTAAAAAGTAACGAAACCCATTTCTTTCTCTCCCTCTTTTCCTTCAGGATATCCTCCTCCTCGACGCCTCTGGTACCAGGGGTCGCAGGCTCTCGTGTCCTCCTCAAGAGTCCTCGTAGGAACTGGTGGGCGTGACCTGACCCTGGTGGGCGTAGGACCCAGGGACGCCGGAACGTACGTGTGTGTGGCTGTGAATCCTGCAGGAGAGGCTCAGCTGAGTACTGCTGTCGTGGTCGTTGGTGAGTGTGTTAATGTATTTGAGGCTGTGAGGGAGATTATCTTTAATTCGCTGTGGCAAATGTTAAAAATAGTATAGATAAAAGATAGATAGAAAAAAAGAAAAGAAATGTGATTGAGGTGTTCATAAAGAAGTTTATATATATATATATATATATATATATATATATATATATATATATATATATATATATATATACATACATACATACATACACGCACACATGTTTAACCGAATTGTTCGTAAAAAAGCTTGATGTTTAACTGACGTATATTCTTATTGCACAGTGTTGAGTTGCATTCATTTCAGGTGTATTTGCTATTCAAAACTGGGTGGGAGTATATTAGGAAAACATACTTTTTACTGAAATACTTGATTGAGTATTAAAAAATTGTCTGATCTTAAAAGCATCTGGATGCCAGTCAGTCTGATTCATCGATAACGGATTATGAATAATTGAACAAAAATAATGTGATAGTTTTCAGTATTGACATAATATGGATTTTATATTATGCCTTTCGCAAACATTACCATAAACTCGCAACTTTTACCATTTTCTTTTTTATTACCTGGATCTTTGCATATTAGGACTATCAGTAACTGCATCACAAATGTTGTCCACTGGTGCTTATTTAAAAGAATTATCACTTCACGTTATTGGATATTCGAATATAAAATATGACGATAACCTTTCGTAGGTAAAAACAATGAATCAAGAACCTGCACATAAACAAGTTGACTCAAAAGGAAGAATAAATGACATTCATAATGGTCCGCACAGATAATATACCATTATATCGCCTCGTAAACACCTTTCTTAAAAAGCATCATATATATAGCAACAGGTGACGAGACAAAAAATAACCACTCCGAAATTATACAGACACGATCAGAACTCTTGTCAAACACGTTTCGAACTCGCTTCGAATACTTAAATAAAATGACCCTTTTTGTATAGGTTCGGAAGGATCCGGAGCTTCACTTACGGCGTTACTTTTGCCCATGTCTGTACATCGCAAAAACTTACTTGACTTTTTCGATTTATTCAAAGCAATTGCTTGTCACGCGAAAGGCATTGTAATTGATGACTGTAGTTGAAATTTAAGTTTCATTTTGTTTAATTTGACTTGGTAATTCACTTGCAATTGTATTTTTATAATTATGAACATTCATTATTAGTATTAGTATTGCCATGGGCGTTTTTCCTGTAATTGTTATTACTGTTTTCTTGTTATTATTACTATTATTATTATTGTTATTATCATTATTGTTATTATTATTATCATTATTAATATCATTATTATTATTATTATTGTTATATTATTATCATCATTATTATTATTATTGTTATTATTATTATTGTTATTATTTTTATTATTATTATCATTATTATCATTATTGTTATTATCATTATTATCATTATCATCATTACTGTTATAATCACTAATACCCCTTACATCATTATTATCCTCTTAGTAATTACCATCAATGATATCATTATGAACATCACCATCATTATAATCATTATTAGCATTTCCCATCATCATAATCTTTATACCCCATTTCCCTAGCTCGTCCGGAACTCGAAGGCGAGGCCGAAGTCGAAGTCGCGGTCGTGGAGGGTCAGGACGTCAGTTTCGAATGCAAGGTGAAGACGAACGGGCGCAGTTCGGCCGCCCACGCCACGTACAACATCACGTGGATGAAGGTGAGGTTCTGGAGGACAAGGGGCAGTGGTTCTTGGGCGGGTTTTGGGGTTGTTTTTGGGTGTTTCTTATTTCAGCGGTTGTTGTGTGGTGTTTGAGCGGTTTTGGGGGTGTTTTTTTTATCGATTCTTGGGTGTTTTTGTAGCGGTTCTTGGGTGGTTTTGAGCGGATCTTGGATGGTTCATGAGTAAGTCTTGGGTTGTTCTTGAGGGATTCTCGAGTGGTTCTTGAATGGTTCTTGAGCAGTTCTTGGGTGATTCTCGGGTGGTTCTTGGTTAATTCTTGGGATAGTTCTTGAATGGTTCTTGAGTAGTTCCAGGGGTTCTTGAGCTGTGTTTGGGTGTTTTTTGAGTGGTTGTCTGGTAAATTTCGGATGGTTCTTGAGTGGTTCTCGGATAGTTCTTGATTGGTTCTTGGGTGGTTCTTTAGTAGTTTTCTGGGGTTCTTAAGTGGTCCTTGGGTGTTTCTTGAGAGGATTTTGGGTGATTCTTAGCGGGGTCCTCGAGTAGGTTGAGTGGTTCTTGAGTAGTTCCTAGAGTTCTTGAGTGGTTCTTGGATTGTTCTTGAGTGATTATTGGGTGGTTCTTGGATGATTTTTGAGTGGTTCTTGAGTGGTTCTTGGATGATTTTTGAGTGGTTCTTGACACTTTTTTCACTACTACGTTCTCAATAGGAATTGTCCTATTGAGACACACACACACACACACACACACACACAGAGAGGCTCGTCAATAAGATATATTCATTTACGTAATTAGTACAGAAAATCGTAAATCTACGTAAGACTGTAGAAAACTAAAATTAGTAGAGGGGATACTTTTACAATTAATATACATAGCTTGAGAAATTCATTCTCTTTCTTCGGTGCTCGAACTCCCATGTTAAAAAGTCTTGATTTTGCCTTTACCTATTAAATAGAGTTAATTACCGGCTGTTTAGAAATGAGAGAGGAAAAAAAAACACGAACGAAAAGCGAGTTTATTCTTATTCGTATATTTATATATCCGAGAAAATGCCGTAACGCAAGCGGTCGTTTCCAGGACGGGCAGGAGCTTCCCCGCAACGAGGTCCCGCAGACGAGGTCCTTCGAGCGCCTGCTGATGGGTCGGCGGCCGCTTCCTGTCTCGGATTACTACTACGAGGGCGAGGAAGACTTCAGCTACGCCGAGGACGTGTCCCTCCTGCTGCAGGACTACCTTGAAGGAGTGAGCGCGGAGACCACGTCGCCCACGGCCACAACCCCCGAGCCCACGGACGCCAGCGGGGAGGCGCCTCTGGACGGGTGGCGGGACTGGCGCGGCGGCAGGAACGGGACGGCGCGCTACCACACCCTCGGCGGCGGAACCAGACTCAGGGTGAGCCGCGTGACGGAGCGCGACGAAGGGGCCTACGCCTGCGTGGTGACCAACCTCGCCGGCGCCACCACCAGGACCTTCCAGCTCGACACGCTAGGTACGCCGTCGGCCTAACGCCTTCTCGAAAAGGGGAGGGGCTTCTTATTATCTTTACCTGTCCATTTATTATAATTAAGATTTTAATAATACCTTAAATGCATACCATACCTTGTAGACAGTCAAGATAAAAAAGTCTTAATAGATCCAAATAGATAAGGCAGCAGCTATTCCGCAGTGCCCCCGGACATCGACACCATCCAGGAGGTGAATGACCACGTGGCAGCCGTCGGGGAACCTGTCGTGTTCGAGTGCGACGCCCGTGGAGATCCGCCCCCTGAGGTAACCAGGTCTTCCGCTGCGTCATGAACCCTGTCGGAGAAATTTCACTTTTCTATAGCTTTATTTTTTCTATTTGATTTTTTGTTATTTGTATCTGTATCATGAGAGTCCTTATCTCTTAGTCGACTCTTTTTCTTATTTTTTAATTTTCATTTTCATGTGTTGTGTTTCAATTTTTTGTCACCTTTCCAGTCAGGTTGTCCCCTATATCAAGTTTCTGTGTCAAATTATTTCTTAACATTTTGCTTGTTTATATATCGCTTAATATCCTAACAACCATGATAATATACAGATTTCCACATTAAACAAACTAAAGTTCTATCTCTACATACTGTCTAACTTACCCCGATATCAAGTCACCGCTATTTTTAATTCCAATTTGATGTAATATGATACGAATCAGATTCCACTCTCAATACCAATTAATTAACAAGCGTGTCATACTTATACACCAATTAGATATTCACTCCCAATCAAATGCTAGTCCTCATACCAACTAACAGTCGTGACATACCAGTACACCAATCATGAAATACCACTAAACCAATCAAATGATTTACCTCATACCATCAATAATCATGACACCACTACACTAATCAAATCCTAGTCCTGATACCAACTAACAGCGATACCTAACAATACAGCATCAAATATTGACTCTTAAAACCAACCAACAAACAGGCATACCAATACATCAATCAAATGCTCGTCCTCATACCAACTAGCAATCAGACATAACAATACACTAATCATGAAATACCTCTGTACCAACCAAAAAGTATGACATACCAGCACACCAATGTTCACTCTTCATACCAACCATTACATACCAGAAGTATTCAACCCCCATACCAGCTAAAAATCATGACATACCAGCACACCAATGTCCACCCTCCATACCAACCATCAACTATTACATACCAGCAGACCAGTATTCACCCTCCGTACCAGCTAAAATTCATGACATACCAGCACATCAGTGTTCACCCTCCATACCAAGCATTGCATACCAGAAGTATCCAACCCCCATACCAGCTAAAAATCATGACATGCCAGCACACCAATATTCACCTTCCATACCAATCATTAACCATTACATACCAGCAAACCGGTATTCACCCTCCATACCAGCAAAAAATCAACACATACCAGCACACCAATGTTCACCCTCCATACCAAGCATTGCATACCAGAAGTATTCAACCCCCATACCAGCTAAAAATCATGACATACCAGCACACCAATGTCCACCCTCCATACCAACCATCAACCAGTACAGCTTCATAGTCAAATCTACCGACAACAGGTGACGTGGTATCGAGGGTCGGCTCCGCTGGAACACCACTCTCGCCTGCAACTGCTGGAGGAAAACCATGTCCTTATCATTACGTCTATTCAGGTGAGTATTGTACTTTTGTGTGTTTTGCGTGTGATTATGTGGGATATATTTGGTATAGATGTTTAGGTTGAATGATAGATAGATAAATAGATAAATAGATAAACTCTCTCTCTCTCTCTCTCTCTCTCTCTCTCTCTCTCTCTCTCTCTCTCTCTCTCTCTCTCTCTCTCTCTCTCTCTCTCTCACACACACACACACACACACACACACACACACACACACACACACACACGCACATATCCATTCATCTATCTATCCGTTAATTCATAAAAATCTGGAAAATGTTTGTGACTTCCCGTGGCTTCAGGAAGGAGACGGCGGAGAGTACACGTGCCTGGCCACCAACCTCGCCGGCCTGACTGAGGAGACTTTCCGACTGAACGTGTTAGGTACGTAACATGGTCGTGCAGGTAAGGGGCCGGGCGGTAAGAGAAAGGGGTGCGGACGAGAAACCACAAGAAACCACGAGAAACCACGAGAAACCAGGGAAATCGCGAGAAACCACGGGAAACCAGGGAAATCGCGAGAAACCACGAGAAATCACGAGAAACCAGGGAAATCGCGAGAAACCACGAGAAATCACGAGAGACCAGGGAAATCACGAGAAACCAGGGAAACCACGAGAAACCAGGGAAATAACCTCCGTGTCATCGCTTGTGCAACGGTGATTTGTGAGATATAAAAAGGATGGTCGAAAATGTTGACACGGTTGGAAAAGGGTGTGTGTACGGGAGGGGAAGGGGCTGTCTGTGAATGATTTGAATAGTTGCCGTTCTTTCTATCCAACCCATGCTTCTTTTTCTTCATTCCTTCCCTCCACCTCCTCCCTGCATCCCCCACCACCTCTCTTTACCCCCTTCTACCTTCCTCATCGCCTCTCCGTCTGCCTCTACCTACTCTCCATTCTCTCTACCTTTCCTCCACCTTCTCCATCTTCTCCATCTTTCTTCCACCTCCTCCATCCTCTTCATCTTTCTTCCACCTCCTCCATCCTCTCCATCTTTCTTCCACCTCCTCCATCCTCTCCACCTTTCTTCCACCTCCTTCATCTTCTCCATCTTTCTTCCACCTCCTCCCTCCTCTCCATCTTTCTTCCACCTCCTCCATCCTCTCCACCTTTCTTCCACCTCCTCCATCTTCTCCATCTTTCTTCCACCTCCTCCCTCCTCTCCATCTTTCTTCCACCTCCTCCATCCTCTCTACCTTTCTTCCACCTCCTCCATCCTCTTCATCTTTCTTCCACCTCCTCCATCCTCTCCATCTTTCTTAAACCTCCATCCTCTCCACTTTTCTTCCACCTCCTCCATCCTCTTCATCTTTCTTCCACCTCCTCCATCCTCTCCATCTTTCTTAAACCTCCATCCTCTCCACCTTTCTTCCACCTCCTCCATCCTCTCCACCTTTCTTCCACCTCCTCCATCCTCTCCATCTTTCTTAAACCTCCATCCTCTTCATCTTTCTTCCACCTCCTCCATCCTCTCCACCTTTCTTCCACCTCCTCCATCCTCTTCATCTTTCTTCCACCTCCTCCATCCTCTCCATCTTTCTTCCACCTCCTCCATCCTCTTCATCTTTCTTCCACCTCCTCCATCCTCTCCACCTTTCTTCCACCTCCTCCATCCTCTTCATCTTTCTTCCACCTCCTCCATCCTCTCCACCTTTCTTCCACCTCCTCCATCCTCTCCACCTTTCTCCCACCTCCTCCATCCTTTTCATCTTTCTTCCACTCCTCCCTCCTCTCCATCTTTCTTCCATCTCTTCATCTTTCTCTTCATCTTTCTTCCACCTCCTCCATCCTCTCCATCTTTCTTAAACCTCCATCCTCTCCACCTTTCTTCCACCTCCTCCATCCTCTTCATCTTTCTTCCACCTCCTCCATCCTCTCCATCTTTCTTAAACCTCCATCCTCTCCACCTTTCTTCCACCTCCTCTCCACCTTTCTTCCATCTCCTCTCTATCCTCTCCACCTTTCCTCCATCTTCATCTTTCTTCCACCTCCTCCATCTTCTCCATTTTTCTTCCACCTCCATCCTCTCCACTTTTCTTCCACCTCCTCCATCCTCTCCATCTTTCTTCCACCTCCTCCATCCTCTTCATCTTTCTTCCACCTCCTCCATCCTCTCCACCTTTCTTCCACCTCCTCCATCCTCTTCATCTTTCTTCCACCTCCTCCATCCTCTCCACCTTTCTTCCACCTCCTCCATCCTCTCCACCTTTCTCCCACCTCCTCCATCCTTTTCATCTTTCTTCCACCTCCTCCCTCCTCTCCATCTTTCTTCCATCTCTTCATCTTTCTTCCACCACCTCCAACCTCTCCACCTTTCTTCCACCTCCTCCATCCTCTCCATCTTTCTTAAACCTCCATCCTCTCCACCTTTCTTCCACCTCCTCCATCCTCTTCATCTTTCTTCCACCTCCTCCATCCTCTTCATCTTTCTTCCACCTCCTCCATCCTCTCCACCTTTCTTCCACCTCCTCCATCCTCTCCACCTTTCTTCCACCTCCCTCATCCTCTCCATCTTTCTTAAACCTCCATCCTCTCCACCTTTCTCCCACCTCCTCCATCCTCTTCATCTTTCTTCCACCTCCCCCATCCTCTCCATCTTTCTTAAACCTTCATCCTCTCCACCTTTCTCCCACCTCCTCCATCCTCTTCATCTTTCTTCCACCTCCTCCATCCTCTCCACCTTTCTTCCACCTCCTCCCTCCTCTCCATCTTTCTTAAAACTCCATCCTCAACACCTTTCTTCCACATCCTCCATCTTTCTTCCACCTCCCTCCTCTCCACTTTTCTCTCCTCTCCATCCTGTCTACCTTTCTTCCACCTCCATCCTCTCCACCTTCTTCTCTTCTCACTTCTCTTCACCTCCTCACTTCTCCACTTTCCCTCAACCTCTCCACCTCCCTCCATCCTCCCACTTCCCCAACCTCTTCACATATTTTTCTTCATTATATAAAAGCTTATACTTCTATATTACTTACATTTATACCACACATACTTTCTTATAAGTGGAAATAACAATCTAAGATAGTACTTGTGATTACATGTACTTAAACTTTCCTATTAGTAGAAATGTCTATATAAGATATTACTTTTATTTATATCACAACTACTTGTACAGTCAGAAAAAATATCGTTACCCTTTGCACAAACTAATTTGAAATCGACGAAGTGGTGTGGAATAGCGAGGCAAAGTAGTTAGTACCGTAATTAGTTGTTAACAGAGAGGAGCGTTCGGTTCCTCATTGATCACAAGCAAAGGAAAGGATAGTATTTTTTCTGAATATATTTTCTTGTAGGTAGATATGTCACCTCAACACACTCAACTATTCCAATCCTCATGGTTAAGAAATCTGAATGGCTTACGAATGTCAAAAGTTTTTGTACAGAAAACCTATCAAATGAAGTATGCACATAAAAAGTCTGTTATGATATCCATTGCAGACATTCTTGCAAAGCGCATCAGGTTGACTTACGTAATGTTATTGTTTATGGATCAATATTTATTTACTGTGTTTATGTTTGTCTTTGGAGAAGGCAAACATAATATATATATATATATATATATATATATATATATATATATATATATATATATATACATATATACACACATACATACATACACACACACACGTGTGTGTGTGTGTGTGTGTGTGTGTGTGTGTGTGTGTGTGTGTGTGTGTGTGTGTGTGTGTGTGTGTGTGTGTGTGTGTGTGTGTGTGTGTGTGTGCGCGCGCGCTTGTGTGTGTGTGTGCGCGCGCGTGTGTGTGCGTGCACAAATATAAATGTTTGATAGCCCAGATGTGTATTTATTACTGGACAGGAAAATTTCAACTCACAACGACTGTGTAAGTAAAAGTCTGGAAAGTTCGCTTGTTCAGGGCCAAAGACCATAAAGATCCTTTAAAAAAGTAATACCATATTTGTATGAATAATAACTTTGATGTCATATTCTGTATACCCAAAGGAAGCATTTGGAATATCACCATGACATGAACCCAGAATCAGGGCTGGATTTAGGAATGGGAATAAACCACATTAAACGAACCTTTATCTTATAATCAATTAGTAATCTAAAGGAGGGTGGGTTTTCGTACCTTCATGTCAGTGCCTAACGTATCTATTTCTTTCGCTAACTTTAACCTCCTCCTCCTCCTGCTCCTGCTCCTCCTGCTCCTCCTCCAGTGCCTCCGAGAATAGCCGGGGGTGAGGAGCAGGCCGTGCCAGTGGTGAGCGGCAGGTCTGTGGAGCTCGAGTGTGAGGCTCAAGGACAACCTGAACCCGACCTCATCTGGACCTTCGAGGGAGAACCTGTTACGGAAAGCGAGAACCTGGTCCTTGATGATAACACTTTGATCATTGATAGGTGAGTTTGATTGGATCTAAATGCAGGCGAGTGTTCTCTGACCCGCAATATTTTCAACCAAATATGGCATTAATCTCATGGTGAATTATGCCTTCCAGTTCTTTTTAGTATTCTGAACTTGGTCTTTAAAATATAAATACAGGAACGTATACATACAAATGAAACGAGTCTCTGCTGCAATAGAAATGAAATAAAAGCATTTTTCGAGTTTCATTTTTTGTGACTTCGAACATGCTGCCGAGACTGCATAAATAGGTGATATCATGCTTATTCTCATCATCCAAAGGAAGGATCAAATACTGTATAAAAGCTTTTTTATACAGTTTTTATCCATTCCAGGCATTTTTCCCGCAATATCGCTGCGTAAAATAGTACATTTATAACAGATCACAAAAAGAAAAATAGAGTTCAAAAAAAATAAAAATGAGAGTGAAAATAATAGCGATGAAAAAGATTTAAAAAAAAGTACCGATCATAAAAGTTCACAAATAAGAATAAATAATCAACGAACCAAACAACAATAAAAATAGAAATGACAAAAAAATAAAAAATAAAATAGGAAATTCATAACAGACCAGAAATAAACACACAAAACCCCACACGTCATGCATTTTTTTCCAGAGTGAAGCTGGCGCAAGCGGGAGTCTACGAATGCGCGGCCACCAACTCCGTCGGCCAGGATGCCAGGCGCTTCGTCGTCAGCGTCACAGGTCAGGGGAGAGAAGGACTTGATTTGATGGTTAATGGTTGAAATGTATAAATTTTCTTGGCATAAGAGGTCGTATAGCACTGAGGACTAGATTTATTTCCGTTCTTTTAAGGGGTTGTTTTTCCTTTCGCTGTGTTTTTTTTGTGTCTTTTTTGTACTTTTTAATTTGTATGTTTGTTTGTTTCTTTCATTCTGTTTTCTTTGTTTGTCTGTGTGTCCCTTTGTCTGTCTGTCTCTTTCTCTCTCGTTCGCTTTCTGTCTCAGTCTCTCTTAGTTTCTGCCTCTCTCTCTCTGTCTCTGTCTATGTTTCTCTCTTTGTTTGTCTCTATCTCTCTCTGTCTCTATGTTTCTCTCTGTGTTTGTCTTTCTCTCTCTCTGTTTTTTTTTTCTCTCTCTCTTTGTTTCTCTCTCTTCTCTTTCTCTTTCTCTCTCTCTCTCTCTCTCTCTCTCTCTCTCTCTCTCTCTCTCTCTCTCTCTCTCTCTCTCTCTCTCTCTCTCTCTCTCTCTCTCTCTCTCTCTCTCTCTCTTTCTCTTTCTCTTTCTCTTTCTCTTTCTCTTTCTCTCTCTCTCTCCCTCCCTCTCTTCCTCTCTTCTCTCTCTCTATCTGTCTCTTTATCTATCTATCACTCCTATCTTGCGTTTTCCCTCCCATCCATAAATATTCAAAACGACCTACATCCTCACACACGAATCATTCCAACCCATCAAAAAACAAAAACAAAAACAAAAAAACAACAACACACGAATGAAAAAAATAGACGTCATTTTCTCACGCCCACGTTTCCCACCCAGAGGCTCCCTTCATCGCGGGCGGGGTGGACGAGGAGACGGTCACTGTGGTGGAGGGTGAGTCAGCAGCCCTTCACTGCGTCGCCTCAGGTCACCCGGAGCCGCTCGTGACCTGGATGAAGGTAAGGTGTTGGGGGAAATGGGTGAGGGGGTTAGGAGTGGGTGAAGGGGTTGGGGGGATGAGGGGGTTAGGGGGGTGAGGGGGTGGGGTGGGTGAGGGGGTTAGGGGTCGAGTGGGTGGGGAGGGGAATTGCATGGGTGATTGGCTTGGGGGTTAGAGGGTGGTGTGTGGGTGAATGGGTAAGGGGGTTAGGGGTGGGGGGTGGGGGGTGATTGGCTTGGGGGTTAGAGGGTGGGGTATGGGTGAATGGGTGAGAGGGTTAGGGATGGACGGGGGGTGAGGTGCATGGGTGATTGCTATGGGGTTAGAGGGTGGTGTGAGGGTGAATGGGTGAGGGGGTTAGGAGATGAGGGGGAGTTGCAGGGGTGAAGTGGTAAGGATTTTAGGGGGTGAGATATATGGATGAAACAGGGGGGGGGAGGGGAGGGGTTAGGGATAGCATATAATTAGTGGGGCGTAGGGATTAGGGTGAAGTGTGAGTGTTAGGGGCCAGAGGCTTAGGGACCAAGGGGATTAAGGGTGTGATAAGGGAGGTAAAAGATACGAAGGGTGAGGATGTGGGTAGTTTAGGGTCGAGGTATTGACGAGTCTGAGAAGAGGTGAGGAAAGTGTGAAGTGTGAGATGAGGTGCGGGACGAAGGGTGGGTAAATTGTGTTATAATTACTACTGGTAATGAGGATGATGACGATGGTAAGGATAATGATGATAATGAAAATGATAGAATAAGAATGATAATAGTTATGATAACACTTATAGTAGTATGAATAATAGCTGTAGTAATGATGATAATTACAATGATAATGATAATAATAATAATTATGATAACAACAGTAATAATAATTATGATAACAACAACAGTAATAATAATAGTAATGATAATAACAGTATAGATAAAAAGGATGGAATGACAATAACCTTAACAAAAATAATAACAAAACCATGCAGCCAATACACCAAACATTAAAAGTAAACCAACCACTTCCCTTCCAGGAGGGCGTCGGCATGCGACTGGACGAGCGCGTGACCGTGTCGTGGGGCGGGCGGTCTCTCCTGCTGCAGTACGTGGGCGAGGAGGACGCCGGCCGCTACACCTGCGTCGCCTCCAACCTCGCCGGGAACCACACCAAGGATTTCCGCGTCCAAGTCCTGCGTGAGGAACTGTTTCTGTTTTTTGGAAGGGGGGTAGGGGTGGGGGGGATTAGTTCCTTTGGGATTTTTCGGTTCTTCTTTTTGTTTTCTTGTTTTTTTCTAGCGTTTTTCTTTTTTCTTTTTCTTTTTTGTCTTTTTTTTTTTACCATTTCTTTAGTTTTCTTGGTATACGTTTTCTTTTCTTGTGTTCGCTAAGATCCTCGCACTTTCTGGCAGGGAATGAATTTTGGATTTCTGAGTTAGTTCTTTGGTTCTTCGTCGTTCTCTTATTTTCTATTTATTTCATTATATCTTTGTAACTTTTGGAACCTTTTGTTCTCTGTCGGTCTGTTAGTCTGTTTCTCTTCAATAAAATCGCTTTCCCTTTCATTTATCATTCTCTCTCGGTTCTTACTCTTTCTTTTCTCCCTAATCTGTTCTCACTCCCTGTACTTGATTTCCATGAACATATCTAATAAGGTAAATATAATTATACAAAGAAATATCGAAATCACACTTATTAGCGAACTTCAGGATGCAGTGTAATAATCAAATAATCACACTTTTTTTTACAATCACGAGGATATAGTGTAATAAGCGAGAAATCACACTTTTATTTACAATCATGAGGAGTGTAATGAGCGAGGAGTAAATATAGTGACGTATGGTGTCGTGTGTCATCCAGGTCGGCCGCAGCTGGTCGATGCGCCCGAGGAAGTGGTGGCAGTGGTGGGCGAGATCGTGAACGTCGTGTGCGCCTTCGAAGCTTATCCGCGACCCAAGGTGTGTGTTTGGGATTTGGTTTTTAGATTGTTGGGTCGATTGTTTTTTTTGTTTTTTTTGGGGGGGGAGGGGTTGTTCTGTTTTTTATTGTTTATTTTGTTTTATTATGATTTTTTATTAGTGTATGTTCGAATAATTTATTATCTTTTTCTACAATACAGGAAGAAATTCACACTTTAGGATTGCAGGAGTTATATATAATGATGATAAATGAATTATCAGGTCTTAGATCCAAGTTTTATCGAAAAAAAAACATGTCTGTGGTTTATGGCTTGCTTATGTCTGGACAGATCAGCTGGCAGTTCGAAGGCGCCCCTGTTGATGGCGAGGACAGCGTGCTGCCCTCAGGAGTCCTTCAGATATCCCCCGTGGGCCCTGAG